TTTTGCGGAACCAGGGATTGAACTCAAGCCCTTGCGCTTGCCAGGCAAGTGCTTATTCTACTGAGCCATCTCCCTGGCCCTTTGGTTGGTTGTTTTTTTTTTAACAGCCTGGGGCCTAACGGTTGTGGGCTCAACACAACCGTCATCTGGTCTGGGTGCTCCTTGAACCCAGCCCTCTTAGTCTTTCCTTTGTCCTTTAGTCTCTCCCTTCGTATGTGTGTTTGGGCAGTTGTGGAGTGGAAACGTGTATGACTTCACATTTTAATACAACTCGGTGCGTTCTGCCTCTCGTTTTGTTTTGTAAATTATCTCATGTTGCAGTTTATTTCCTGGGAATGACGGGACTCTAACACTCTCCATCGATGTTGGTGTTTGCCAAAACGGTCAGGAGCAGCTGTAGCCCTGAGGAGCAGCCCTCTGTGCTGCATCCCGTTGGCCAAGAGGAGGCGCCCAGGAACAGCATCCCTCCTGACCCTGCCTGCGGCCTTCCTCCTCTCGCCTGTCTTCCAGATCACCTCTCCATGAACTCCCTGCAAATCTTCATCTCACGTCTGCCTTTAGAGCTGGAACCCAGACAAGCCCCTTCCCACCACCTCTGACATGTCACACTTGCTGCGTGGAGCCCTGTTCGACCTGCGAAAGGCCTGGTGCCACCCCTGTGTGTGCTGCAGGCCTGTGCTGGAGTCCAGAGCCGGGGCTCTGGCTCACCCACAGACAAACGCAGCTCCCTCTGGAGACCTGCTGGGCTGAGGTGAACTCGCCCGTCAGTGTGAAAGCGATTGCTAAGGAACTGTTGGGAAAAGCTGGGCAGAGGCAGGGAAACGAGTGGATAGGAAGGTGACAGCAGCTGTGCTGGAGTCTGCAGCAGGATTTCATCTGAGGTTTCCAAAGTGCAGGAAGGGGAAGGCAAAGGACACCCCTTCCCCGACCCTTGTTTCACACTGGATACTTCTGCCACATTTGAAGCTCCCCAGGAGACAGGAAGAGACGGCCCTGGTGGGGGGCTGTGGGGGGCCCTCTGCTGGGCTGGGGGGCCACTGGCAAGGGCAGAGTGCCAACTCCACAGTAACAGCCACCAACACAAAGGGTCCCGGCTCAGCCCCAAGGGTGGGCAAGCAAAGGAAGAGACACCCACCCTCTGGGAAGGGCGTGCTTCAGTGCGGCCTGTGGCAGGCACCCAGAGTGACCTCTGCACGTGCACAGAGCAGGGGACCTGAGGCGGAATGGCCCTGCGCCCTCATCTGCATGGGGCCAGCTTTGGAAACATCCTGCAGAATACCACACCGCGAAGCCAGTGGAGAGTTCGGCCTCTGCAGCCTGGTTCTGACGCTGGCTTGCCGCTCCAGGATAGCCTTGCCTGATCTGACCCGTGATGCGTACAGGAGAGGGGCAGCGGAATCTACCAACTGCCGCTGTGAATTTCACTTCCCTCAGGGAGACGGTGTGGGGGTTTCCCAGTCACGACATCACTGACCTGTGGGGGTTTGTGCTCCACGTCAGCTGCCTCCTGAGCTGCTACTTGCTGGTCCCCACCAACCGGCTCTCCTGGCTTACACCCTTACCCTCTCCTCGGGGAGTCTCTGACGGCATCCTCACGCCTTAACCTCTCCATCCCTGTCCCGACAGTGACATTTTGCAATTCTCAGGGTTGTAAGACACCTCACATTCTGGGCTTCCTTCACTTTGTCCTCCTGCAGCCTGTGCGGGGACACAGTGCCATCCTCCTCTTCCTCAGGAGGATAAGAAAAGGGCGCAGCCTGCACAAGCCAACAAGGTTCTAGGACAGTGTGCTGCCTCCCAGTGCCTGTCACCCCACCCCCACGGCCCCACCACTCTGGGAGCAGAGGCTGCCCACCTGCCGAGTATTCCGTTCCCAAAGCCCCTCCACAAGCTTGCCTCCCAGTAGAACTCTGGTGACAAGAGAGGAGCTCTGTGACAACTAAGCCACGCCCTCCTTGGCCTCCTGAGTCTTAAGGGGAGCAGGGACCCAGGAGCCCAAGGACAGGGTAGATTAGTCTAGTTCGGGGCTGGGCTTCTGGAACCCACAGTCAGGCATAGCGGTGGCTTCAGGAGGGCCATCCCTAGGGCCCAGAATGAGCACCTAGGTGGGGACAGTGGCAGCCCCAAGCCAGCCTCTCAGCTCTACTGTTGAGATGACTTCATGAGGCGGGCTTCAGGGCTGAGCCACAGGCAGGTAAGCCCTGGGACAGGGCAGTGGGCACCTGGGAGGAGGCACGGTCAGCCCCAGTGAGTTCTACCACACACCAGCCAGAGGGCACTGCCTGAGGAGCAGGAAGTCTCTGGGGCTGGGGCAGCAGGGCAGGCATGGAAGTCGCAGGCCTGTGTACGCACCACGCGGTCCTGCAGAAGCTGCCTGTGGGTGCTGCTTCGACGGTGTCTAAACGTCCCCCCAAAGCCTCATGAGTCGGGGGCTTTCCGTGGTGGCTGGATGTACGGCGTGATGCTGGGACCACAGCCGCACAGTGAGTGAAGCAGGCGCTGGCTGACTTGCCAGGTCTGGCTAGAGGTGTGGGTGTGCATGCTGGGAGCCTGCGTGCCACGTAAGGGACACGGCACCTGGTCTGCCTCGTGTGGCCTCCACTACACGTGGGCGCCGTGAACTGTTCACGACACCCCTGTGCCATGGCACCCCACCTTGGAGCAGCCAGCTGTGAGCTGAAACCTCCACACATCACGAGCCCACAAACTTTTCCTCCTCTAACGTGGGACGTTGGGTATTTTATCTGGGCAAATGAGAGAAAACATAGATGTTACTTGGTAAGGACTTGGCTCATAGAGAATCCAGTGGAAAAAGCTGGTGCCACTGCCAGGAGAGGGCTAGGCCGCCCTGCAGTATGGCCAGCCAGCTGCCAAGGAAGGGGCATTGGCCTCGTGGTGAGAACCCCCGGCCCAGCCTGCAGGGCTAGCACTGGCCCGTGGAGGGGGTGACCCAAACCTTGCTGTTGTGAAGTGCGAGGCACAGGAGGTAGACAGCATGTCCGTGGTGTCACAGTGTCAAGGGGTAGAAGGTAGGGAGCTTCTCCTGAAAGGATGGTCATGAAAAAAAGCCGAGAGACCCCGCCAGGCACCAGGCCACGCTCGCTGGGTGGGGCCCCAGGCTGTACCTTGGTGAGAGGAAAGCTGAGGCGGAGGCCTGCCCTGGGTGCAGCTTACACTGCTTCAGTTCAGAAAACTGCTCGCAGGACGGTTCCCTGGACACAGATTATATGTCAAAACCAAGCACTGTTTCTTAAAGCCTCTCTGGCTGCGCGGCCCCAGGCATATTACTCAGCCTCCCTACTTCCCACTTACATGGGGCTGGCCTTAACCAACCTGCGCCTCCCAAGTTGTTTCAGTGAGAACACCTGGTGAACGCCTCCCTGGTGGCATTCGGCATGGATGGAGAGCCGCAAGCCACTCCGGGGCCCAGGGGACTCTCCAGGGCGCCTCAGGACGTGGCCACAGCGGCCGTGCAGGTGGACGCACTGGGTTAAGACCAGCAGGCCATGTGCTCAGTGCAGGCGGCACCCACAGGGCATCAGCCTCCCGGGGAGGACGCAGACCTGCCAGCCCAGCACCACACAGAGCCATTCAAGCCAAAGCGGAGGGTTTGCAAACCACTCAGAGGGCTTTTCTTTGCCCGTTGCTGACTGGGATCAAGACCTGGGGTGGGGGGAGGTGGGGGAGCCTGCCCGTTAGCTCAGTTGTTTAAGTGCCTGCTTAAACAAAGCAGTCAGGCTCAGGATGCTGTGGTTCGATCCCCAGATACTCACCTGCCCTGAAGGCATTCTGAAGCCACCAAAAAAAAAAAAAAAAAGGCCAGGGAGATGGCTCAGTAGAATAAGCGCTTGCGTGGTAAGCACAAGGGCCTGAGTTCAATCCCTGGTTCCATAGGCAGAGACCCCGCATCCCCACTAGAGGTCACACTACAAAGAGACTCCCAGAGAGGGAAGATCCGGGGCACACAGCAGAACACCAGGCCTTCAGGGCAAGGGAGCCACACAGGAGACGGGCTGTGTGAGGCAGGTGACCACCACGTCCCCACCTCAGCTCCCCTCTGTACAAGCTTCGCCCATGGGAGTTGGACACGCGGAGCTCTGCAGTCCCCAGTACACATGCGCAGGAGACAGAAAGGCCTGGTTCAGATGAGGACACTGGCCTTGCACAGAACCCAGGAGAGCCGCGGGCTCACGGGCCCACCGCACTCCCCACGTGATGAGCCACCTGACACGTGTCGGGGCGCCACACAGCCACTCATCCTCAGCCTACTCCTCCCCGCTGGTGTGCTTGGGTGATTTGTGAGTCACTGGTCACTAGGACAACTAGCATTTCAAAGACCCAGAGCCCCACAAAAGGCCCTGATCCCCAGAGCCTGGGAGCAGACCTGAGGGCGCAGAGGCGCGCGCCAAGGGACAGAAAGGCCCAAAGACTCGTCCGCCTGCCCACCCCCCCAGTCCTGCAGTCCCACTACCAGCGCTCTTCCTGGGAACCTGTAAGACCAACAACGTCATCAGCCATTTGTTCGGTTTTCACTGTGGGAGCCTGAGTCCAGGGCCTTCACACCGAGCCACGTCTCTGGCCCACCTTTATGTTCTGGGACACAGGCTGTCACTAAGCGGCCCAGGCTGGACTCAAATTTTGCAATCCTCCTGTCTCAGCCTCCCAGAGTGCTGGGATCACAGGTGTGCACCCCCACACCCGGCTCCACCTGCCACACTGGAGCCTGACCTGTAGCACGTGGCAGGGCTTGGCACCTGGGGAATTTGCCCTGTGCTACTGCAGAGGTTGGCAGACACACGCAGCATCCTTGTGGGCAGCCGGCCGTCCCCTTCCAGGCTGCAGGCCCTGCCTGGTGGCATCCAGGCCCAACAGTGGGGGATACCCACACTGCCCACAGGCTCCCCAGAGCCTTTGGTATTTTGGAAATTAGTAGAAACCATTTATATGCCCAAACACTAGAAGCGGACTACGCAGTTTAGAGAATTTTTTTAATCAGTACTTCTCTTCAATGCTGAAGGGACTCCTCCAGTGGAGAAAGGCCCCTCAGACAAGCCACAGGCCCTTCATAGAAAATGCATTCTCTTGAAGTTCTTTCAGTAGTGGTAAAACTTACAGCCACAGTCTCTGCACCCAACTGTCCTTACAGCTTGTGGTCAGGGCAACCACCCTTCTCGGGCTGCCTTCTCCGACAGGGAAGTGACAAAGACGTCAGGCTCAACCCTGCACAGAATGCCAGAAACGGGGGCCAAGCCCTCGAAGCTCGCTGGAGGACCCCAGAAGAATCCGGGAGGGTGAGCCCTGGTGTCTCCCACCGCCAGGAGGACAGTGCTGCTCTGCCCAGGAGGGTGCCCCTGCTCCGCCCCTGCCTCTCCACCTCCCAGGGCAGTGTGAACACAGGGTCCCCGCCAGAGCTGCTTGGTTCTGCAGTGGGAGTGAAGCTGGTCGGGAGTTGCCAGTGAACAGAAGCTAGGACCATGGAAATTTTTTTAAGGCCAGTCAGGGAGAAATTAATTAGCAAAACACTGCATGGCATGTCCTCAGCTGATCTCTAGGCGAAGGCACCACATGACTGCCAGGGGATCTCTCAACAGCGGGGTAAATCCCAAGCACCCCCAGAGGAGGGCTCAGAGCGGCCACCAGGGGCCTGCACTGAGAGAGGGATGCGCATACTGCAAGTCGGCTCAAGGCTGAACAAACCACAGGGCAGGAAGGGGGCAGATTTCAAGAGTCCCTGTCCTTCCAGGGACACCGATGGCAGCAAGACCTTGGTAGAGTCTAAAAATGCTGGCGTTAACTGCAGGGAAACCATGCTGAAGACACGTGGGCACTCAGCATCCCCACACTGACAGGACACTGCAGGGTCCTGAACAGCTCCCGGCCTCTGACAAGCAGACCACGTTGGAAAGGCTTCACAGGGTGCCAGAGTGGCCACACTGCAGAACTGTACCTGCACGCACTATACAGTGAAACGACACCAGCACCCCACAAGTGCCGGGCAACTGGGCACGGAGCAGGTGCAAAAGAGGGGCAGTGGGGGAAGGGCACAAAACAACACACAACTCCCAGGAGTTCTGATCTGGGGGCAAATCCTCTCCACACCCACTGGGGGGAACCACGCCCTCACCACCTCCTGGGCCCTCACAGGCCATGGCCACATCTGCTCCGCTTACCAAGCGGCTGACAGGTGTAGCAGGACACCCCACCCGCGCTCGTCTCATCTGCTCAGGGGAGAACGCCTGGCTGCCGCCCAGATCTTCCCCTGGAGGAGCCTGTGCTCTGGAAGAAAGCCAACGCGCCGAGGACACAGCTCCTGCCTCCACCCCACATGCCCTCGGCCTCTGCTAGTCAGATCACTCTGCTCACCCACTCTTTCCTTTTCTCTGTTTTGACATGCTCAGCTTTTTCCTTAATGGCTACCGACAATGTACAGGAATATGTTACACGCTATACAGAAGGTGTCTGAGGGGCCGGGCAGGGAGCCTGGCGAGAAGGCCGCATTTCCAAGTGCATGCTGCTTCCATTCACGGTGGCAGGGCCCGCAAGGGGCACTGGCTGGCGAGGCGCTCAGGACGTGAGGGACTGGATGTTCTTGAGCATCTCATCAAAGGCCTGCAGTGACGGCGCGTCTGCATTCCGGAAAGCGGCCTGGACCCGGCTGTACAGGCTGAAGGACTTCAGCTCCAGCCAAATGAACCCAAAGCGGTCCTCATCGAACAAGATAAAGACGCCTGGTGTGCGCTCTGGGCTGGTGAAGCCATGGCCAGCGATGAGGCCTGTGCCATAAAAGCTGGAGAGAAAAGAGGCACAGCATGAGGGGAGAGGGGGCCTTGGGCATGGCAGGCACCCTGGGCATCCCAGAGCACCCTTCTTGCCAGGCCGGTCCCCACGGTGTGCGCCAGGCACAGGCCAACAGAGTCTGAAGAGGACCTGTCTTTGCAGGGGTAGCTGGAGGCCTGGTGCCATCTTCACCAAAGACCAGCATGGCCAATGTCCTGGAGGTAGAGGCCTGGGCTCGGGGCTCCTTGGGGTGCTCGTGGGCTGAGCCCGGGGCTGCTCAGATCTGGGCCCTGAAGACCACACCATCACCCCACCTTCCCCAGCTGCAGCAGGAGCCCTGGGCAGGCACATGGGAATTCTGCTCCAGGAACACAGCAGGCCAGTGGAAATAAAGATCTTAACTTCTGGGATCGTTACAGCCCTTAGAGAACACAGACATATGAGAAATGGAGCATGCAGCTGACGCAGAGACCCACTGGCAGCTCTGAGCCAGGCTTCGTTTAAAACACAGCCCTGGGGCTGGAGAGATAGCTCAGTGGTCTAAGGCACCCGCTTAGACAAGCTTAGGCAAAGCGCAGGGACCACACTTTGATCCCCAGAACCACATGCTGCAGTAGTCCCGCCCCCAGAGTGGGCTGAGCTGGCCACCAAAAAAAAAAAAAAAAAACAGCTCTGTGTCTTGTGAGGACTGCGTGGCCCTGGCAGCAGCAAGGTCAGGGCTGGCCTAGAGCCTCCCTCTGAGGCCCTGCAGGGCAGGGGAAGAGGGGTACAGTCCTGTAGTTCTTAGCTGGGGAAGGAGATGCCCAGCCGGTGCAGGGCAAGCGGTGGCCACCAGCACAGAGAAAACGCCACCACAGGTATTCCCGGCACAGGTCACAAAACAGCAGAAGGGACCCAGCACAGCTTTCTCACAGGGCAGAGAACCGTCCTGCGCTCCAGCAGAGGTGACTGGCAGCCAGGTCGCCACAGCATGCTTGGGACCTGCGCGTGGGCCGCAAGCTGGCCACGGGGTCCTGGGAGCGTGACATGTTCATAGAAATAACAAAGCTCTTTTCCTTCATGGCCATTCAAGAATTTTCAACAGCTGAAATCACCCTGGAAAGCTATCTGTAGGCCTCTATCTGCAGAATCAGCCCTGTCCTTCTTGCATAAGCAAAGAAAATGATTTCCCCCATAAAGATCACTGCGGGGGGCTGGTGAGATGGCTCAGTGGTCTAACGCACCTACTTAGAACAAGCTTAGCAAAGCACAGGGACCGCGGTTCAGTCCCCCAGCACCACATGCCAGCCAGCCCCGCCCCCTGGTGGGCTGAGCTGGCCACACACACGCACACACACACACATAAATTAATTAATTTAAAAAAAAAATCACTGCGGGCCTGGGACAGCAGCCATCCAGAGGCAAAAGGGGACGGACAGAACCACAGCAGAGCCGGGTACCTGCGGTACCAGGAGATGGATGTGTGGTCCTGACCGGGCCACAGTGCTGCAGCGTGCAGTCGCACACAGCAGCTGTGGGCAGGGCTACCCACCAGCACCGAAACGTGGTCAGCATAACTGGGAATGGGAGTTTTCATTCCACTCCGCTTCCAGAAACGTTTAAACAGCCCTGGAGTGCAGGGAACCGGGACACACGAGCAGGGGAACAGGGCCCAAGGTGGCAGCCGGATGAGAGCACACAGGAGGAGCCAGGCGAGGGGAACTGGCAGACCCTGGGCCCGCAGGAGGCCAGCAAGGACAGCGAAACACAGCAGAGTAGGGTGGAGGCGGAGCAACCGCAGGACCTGGGGCCACATCCAGTGCACAGCAGTGGCAAACACCAGCCACGCGGAGTGCCTGGACAGGCTTCCGACAGGGCTCCTACGGGACGGACCCTGCCTCTTGCTGTCACCTACCAAGCTGGGGGCATTCTAGCTTGCCTGTCTTCACCTGGCCAGCTACAAAGCTGCCTCAGGAGCGATACTGCGTGTCCCATGAGACATGCAGAGGAGCCACTGCACAGTCCGGGCCGAGGAATGCCACTCCAGCACTAGGCCACGGGGCCCGCCCCGCGCACGATCCTCACCACATGCGGCAGCTGCGGGGGTAGTCCTCGTTCCTTGAGCTCACACCCATGGGCAGCACGAAGGGCTGCCCCTTGCTGGACTGGTCGGGCTGCTCAGCCGCAGCCGCTCCATCTGCTCCATCCGAAGGCTTCCCGCCGCCGTCCTCACCAGGCCCCGCCTCTGCCTCCCTGGCCGGCTGCTCCTGGGCCAGCACAGGATCCTCACCGGCCTCCCGCTGCTGCTCCTGCCGCACCTGCTCACCGACCTCCAGGACGATTCGCGAGAGTTCGTTGAAGTTGCGGAGATTCTCGACATCAGGCAGCTGGATGCGGTGCCTCAGATCAATCTCCACCGTCTGCTGCCCGGCGGGGATGTTGGGGTCCCCCTGCGGAGCATGGCAGGCACTCAGACACCAGAACACTGCAGCGCTTCCCAGCCAGATGTGCCCTGGCAGGCGCACGGCGAGGCCTATAGACCAGGCTTCTGATGCCATCCTTGCAGGGCCCATCTGGGGTCTGCCAAGATGGAACCAGGCAGCCTGCTGGGCACCCGGGGACCACGCACATCCCGCCCGTGCTCACCTGTGCTCGAACCCTGGGGTGGGAAGCGGCAGCAGGCCCAAGGGCAGCCCAGACTTGCGTACCAGGGAGGCGTGGCTCCTGAGCAACTCAGGAATGCCCCAGCCCTGCAGCTATGTGGGGACGGGGAGTCAAACCTGGGGTGGGTTGAACCCCACCCTGGCTCCAGCCCCATTCCATGAGGCCAGCCATGCAAACCTCCTAGAGCCCGCAATGATACAAACCGCCCGCTGCGGCATGGGTGCCACCAGTTCGCCACCACTGCACCAGGAGCTACCTGTAAGCACTGGGCTCAGGGGACAGGCTGCACTCCTCCAGGACATGGGAGCAAACCACCCCAGCAACTGCTGCATGACGTCAAGCGCAGTGTGACAGAGACCCCCCCCAGCCAGTGGCCTGCTAGACCCTGGGGAGGGCTGTTCCTGAACTCACAGCTGGCTGCCACGGACAGCTTCTCTCTACTGACCAAGCCGGCACACCCACAGCTGTCCACACCCGCACGTGTCACCTGGGCAGTGTGGAACCTTCCTACCAGGCCCCTGCAGAAGCCTATGCTCAAGGCACCCGGAGGAGGAGATCAGGCGGGGCCACCTGTGAGGCCCCAGCCAGCCCCAGCCCTGCAGGTGGCCAGGGCTGCACACAGCATGCAGCCACTGCAGACACACACGGACCTGGAACCGTGTACACTGGGGGCCCTATGCCACCAGCGCTGGGGGGGCCTGACAGCTTCAGGGCCGTGGACCACAGTGACCCTCACATGTCACGTTCAGTGACTGCATGGACAATCGGACAGAGCCCAGCTGGCAGTGACAGCGTAGCAGCGCTTACCGTGATCTTGGTGCCCCTAGCACGGTGGCCGTGGAAGCTGAGCATCACGATCTCCAGGCCATGGCTGCCATAGGTGCCCTTGAAGAGGCCAGGCTTGATGAGGTCGTCAGGGTGGCTGGGCGGGAGGTAGATCCGGCGGTAGGTCAGGCAGTTGCTGTGGGAGCGGGCAGGAGGCCATGGGGGCTCTGCTCAGCCGAGCAGGTACCCAGCATCCTGGGGTGCGGCACTCAGCCCCGGCACGGCACCCTGCGGCTTCGCAGGCCACCCCGGCAGCAGAGTGCAGGGCAGCACCTGCTGGCCGAGGCCTACAGAGGGGCACACAGCACAGCGGAGGGCGTGCGGGGTGGGCTGACTCACTCACTCGTACTGACTGGTGTAGATGAACTTCATCAGGATGAGCTCCTGCATGTGCTCGTGGAAAATGTCCTCCAGCGTGCGGCCCCACTCCTCCCTCAGCCATGTCCGGAACTCCTGCACAGAGGAGGACACTGTCACGGGACAGGAGTGGAGGAGGGGGCTGCTGCTGCGACAGCAAGCGCCTGTCTGCCGCAGCTGAGGGGCCTGCTGCACTGAGGTGCGCCCGCCGGGAAGCCAGCGGCCAGGCCACAAGGGTCTGCGAGGCTGGGCAGCAGTCAGGGACAGGAAGGGGCTACAAGGACCCAGCACCACACTGCACCACTCAAGCCTGGTGCTTGGGCTCCAGGGAGGGTGGGCACATGGGCCCCTGTCGGGAAGCCCTGCTGGCAAGCCTGCCGCGGCCACGACCTCGCTGCGGGCAGTGTGGCCTCACGCAGCCTCGGGGCCTGGCACAGTGTCCTCTGGGGCCTCCACGGCCTTGGCCCACTCTCTGCGAGCTCGAGCACAAGCGTGACGGGAGCAAGGGCTCGCCGCTCTGGAGCTCTCGCATGCCCCACATCTGCGGCACCCAGCGCACCCGGCACGGAGGCGTCTCATTCCTAGCCCTGCTGTGCAAGCCTCTGTGTGCCTCGCTCGCAGTGGAAGCCCTGACTCCTTGGCACGGCTCCACACTGGAGGCAAAAGCAGCCTACGGAGTAAAAGGAAACACACCATTCCTAAACATTCGGCTGTTTTAAGAGTTCTGCTGCCCTACTCCAGGAGCTCAGGAGTCCCCACAGGGGCTGACCCATACGAGAGCCACAAGGTCAGCAGCCGGAACCAGCTGGGTTTTCAAGCACCAGCAGTACAAACTGGGGAAATGAAAGTTTTAAAAATCCTCTTTATTATTCACTCAATAAATTTTTTACTGATTATGTACAATGTGCTAAGCATAAAAAAAAAATTAAAAAAAAAAATCCTCTTTATTGCATCCCAAAAGCTTGAGACAAAAATGAATGTTACAGATTATGTGTACCAGTGAGACCTCTGCTCTGGAAGCCGCAGGGCAGAGCTGAAGGCACACAGGCGGCCTCCGGGGCAGAGGCGTGGGAGCAAATGGTGGGGCCCGTGGGCCAGGACGTGCAGCCAGGGCCCTGCTAGGCTACAGTCTGAGCTCTTCCTACCCCTTACTGTCCCAGACATCCTTAGCAACCTGAGAACAGGTTATTTCATCAAAGCTGGGGAGCCTCCAACCACAGAACTCAGGAGCCCCTACCTCCCCATTTCCTGTTGGGCAGCTTCCCGTCACCGGCACAAGGTAACAGGCACATGCCACTACATGACAGGTGCATCTGGCTCAGGCCATGGTCACTGATCCCAACAAGAGCGTCATGCAGGAGGGTGTGGTCAAGGACAGCTACTCTGCCGCGGCATCCAGGAAGCAGAGGACGAGCCTGAGAGCAGGAGCCAGGGCCAGCGTCCGAGGCCATGTCCTCATACCCTCCCCCACACAGCCCGCAGTGCACTGTGCTCATCTCCCAGGCATCTCTCAAGCCAGTCGAGCTGGCAGGCGGTGCACTGGTCACTCCCACTGCCGTTGGTCGTCATCATCACAGCCAGCACGGTAGCGGCAGACGCAGCTGGCAGCCCCACTGATCCGGTCGGGTTTCAAGCCAAGTGCACAAGCTCCCTAGAGGGGAAGGAGTCTTCGCCCAGAGGTGCTCAGGCAGCTGGACACTACTGGGGCACGAAGACACTGGGACCCCCTGCCTCATAGCACATGCAGGACGCGGCCACCCCGACACAGACTAGACAGAAAGCAGGCTGCTGGGAAGCCGCCAGTCCTCTGCTTCAAGGGGAGACACCACCGCTGGGGCTACAGCAAAGTCTCTCAGAACACAGCAAACAACCAGAAAGGCAAAGAATGAGACAAATCAGACCATTAAAATTAAACTTTCGGGGCTGGTGAGATGGCTCAGTGGTCTAAAGCACCTACTTAGAACAAGCTTAGCAAAGCACAGGGACCGCGGTTCAGTCCCCCAGCGCCACATGCCAGCCCGCCCCCGCCCCCGCCCCCTGGTGGGCTGAGCTGGCCACACACACACGCACACACACACACACACACACACAAATAAATACATAAAATTTAAAAGTAGATAAATAAATAAATAAATAAATGGAGACACATGCCTGTTCGTGGGTTGAAAGTCTCAACATTGTAAAAAGATGGATTGTTTTCTAAACGATATACATGTCTAACATAGTTCTCATAAAAAAAAAATTAAATTAAATTAAACCTTCTATTACAATGACTGACCCCTGGCAGGGAAGATTTAAAACCTCAACCATAAACTGGGCGTGGTGGGGCACACCTGTAGGCAGCACTCGGGAGGCTGAGGCAGGAGGATGGTTGCAAGTACCAGCTCAGCCTGAGCTACAAAGTAAGTTCAAGGCTACCCTGAGCTGCCCAGTGAAACCCTGTCTCAAGAAGACAAAAAAACTCAAACATACAAATGAAAAAAATGGCATGAGCTGAGCAAAGACTTTACCACCACCTGCAAGCTGCCGGCAGCTGGGTGCCATCCCCGTGCCCAGTGCACAGTGCAAACCTTACCTGCCTGGCTTGAAAGGTCAGAATCACCAGGAATACCACCAGGCCCCACTACTCAGCACAGAAGCCCGAGTCCTTCTCTGCAAGCCCTCTCACAGGAGGAAGCATGGACCCAAATTACACCACAGCTAGCTCTGCTGGCACACGCCTGTGATCCCAGCACTCAGGAGGCTGAGGCAGCAGGACTGCTGTAAGCTCGAGGCCGGCCTGCGCTACACAGTGAGACCCTGTCTCTAAAAGGTGGGTAGGGACATCGAGAGCCTGGACACAGACCGAGTAACTTATTCACTACTGGGCAACATCCCCAGCCGTTTTTTTTCTTTCCTTAAGACAGAGTCTGGCTAAGTTGCTAAACTTCTCAGGCTGGAATCAAATTCACGACCCTCCTGCCTCAGCCCCTGGAGTGCTGGGACGGCATGGGGGCCCTCTGGCAGGGGTAACCCTCACATCGGGCGGAGCTGCCCCTGTGCAGCCCAGTGAGCTTCATCCTATCTCAGCTCATCTTCCCAATGCCCTGGGGGCTGAGGGGGCTGAGGGGGCTCCTGGAGCCACTCAGGGAACACCAGTGTGCCCCACTCTTCCACCTCACCTTAGGGTCAGGGTTAGACACCCAGGCTCGTGCTCACAGACAGGGCCTTTGGAAGGTGACTGGGTCGTGGGGTGCTGTAGCTGACTTGCTCTCAAGAAATGAGCTCTGGTGGTCAGAAGAGGGGGTCAGCTGAGGTGTGACCCGGAAGGATTTCTCTCCCTTCCCGGCTCCTCCCTTGGTGCCCCTACGTTTCCTGTCCACCATGATGTGAGCACCATGCCGTCCCGCCTTGCAGCCCACCGATGCTGGACTGAGACCTCCACAGACTGAGCGCCACAATGAACCCCCGTGCGCTGGGTGCTGGGTGTTGTGTCTCAGGGAGGGAAATGACCAGGACCCTCCCCGTCTGTTCTTCCTGGCAGGCACCAGACCTCAAGGGGCTGGTCAGGCAGGGCCAGGACCAGAAGATGATGGCGCAGCCTGGGGATCAGTACTTCTCACAAGGACCAAGGCCACAGAAACACAGGACAGTATACTTGGCCTCGCTTATAGCAGGAGAAACAGCAACAATCTCAACCAGGGGCTGGATGACTACAAAGTAAGTTCAAGGCTACCCTGAGCTGCCCAGTGAAACCACGCCCGGTTCTGGGGCTGGCACGGCACATCTAGGTTCTGGGGCCCGCACAGCACGTAGTACCAGGGATCAAACCCCAACCCTTGCTCTTGCCAGGCAAGCCCTTAGACCACCGAACTAGCTCCCCAGCCCCACTTGTCTTTTTTATTTAAGGCTTTGCCATCCACTCAGGGAGACTGCAGGCCTGCTCAGACCAAATAATTAAGGGCTGTCCTTAACGTGACATCACAGTTACATATGTGCTGTTACAAACACCTGTACACAATCACTTTTTTTTTTTGGCAGAACCCGGGATTGAACTCCGGCCCTTGCGCTTGCCCGGCAAGCACTTATCCTACTGAGCCATCTCCCCGCTCCCCTATCACATTTAAACTCACAATGTTATCAATGAGAAGCCATCTCTGCTACTTCACCTGCCACCGACTTGGGAAAGCGGGCATCGTTTACTTTTGAGGGTCCCAAGAAGCACACACGCTTTTGCCCCGCTGCTGAGTTCTGTGGCTGACGCAGTACCACTGGCAACCACTTGAGAAATAGAAGAAGCACAAGCCACCCGGAGCACCCTGCACCTGCCAAGTGCAAGCTTCCCCTGAACAGCTTTGAGACTGCAGTATGACTTACACCTTTAAAATTCTAAAACGTAAGAGCCATGTGAAAACACTTCCATGACAGGAACCACGGCATCCTGGCTTCCACCGCGCAGCCATAACCCAGAGGCCTGGGCCATGAGGTCCACCAAGGCAGGGAAAACGTGGGCCCTTGGCCATGGCCTTAGGTGCCTCCCCACGCCCCTGGGGAGCAGCCAGTGTCACCCCTGGGGGGAGCTGGGTAACAGACGACCTCCAGATGCCTCATGCACGCCCACTCCGAGGGACTCCAGGGCATGCCTCCACAGGGCGCTGTTTCTGTGAGCCTGTCAGGCTGCTTTCTGCAGGGGCAGGAGGAGCTGAGTCACACCAAGTGAGAGCCAAGCTGGCCGCACAGTGGCAGTGAGACCACACAGCCTCACGCCTCTCCCCTCCGCTCACCACAGCCAGCCAGCCCAGCGCTCTGTGGAATACACAGCCGGGACTGCATGTCCCCGGGGAGGCTCACCTCCTGCCGCCCTCCCGACATCCTATGGTGGTCCGTCTGGTTGCACTTGGTGGAGAACTCGTCCTTCTTCACTATCTTCAGTGTCCCGGTGAGAGGAAGAAGGACCATGAGGAACAGCAGGTTAGTCTCAGCCCGTGACCCACCACGGTGCCCCCCCCCCCATGTGTAGCCATGTATGCCCAAGACAGGCTCCAGCAGGCTGTCTGGGGGCGCTCAGAACCATCCAGGCAGGCCTCACTGGTCTGTACAGGCCTGCAGCTGAGAACGCCCAGCACACTCGACTGGCCCCTGCCCAGGATGGCACAAGACTGTGGTGGCCACAAAGAGCCACCCCTTGCCTGCACGCCCCGTTGAGGTCTCAGGGAGACCCACCTGGATGTGGCCATTGTGGGGCCCCTTGTGGCCGTACATGCATTCCACTGTGGCTGACTTCCGCTCCATCAGGTGGATTCGAAACAAAGGCTTGAACCGCATGGGGTCATCCACGTGGGGGTCGTGGGGTGGCAGGTACATCCAGCCGATGATGAACAGGCCATCCACCTGGAGGAGGACAGGGAAGGTCACTCGCGGATGCCAAACTAGGGCCACAGGCGACAGCATCTGAGCCCAGGTCCTGTGGGCCTGAGGTGAGGGCTGGTGGCCTAGAGGGCCCAGGCGCAAGGCCCCAGAGCCACCTGATCCTGCCCTCCAAAGCCAGGGATCCAGAGCGAAGGCTGCAGAGGAACACACAGGTAAAGCCTGGCCACTCAAAGTCACCTGACAAGAAGTTCTGAGTTCTCTGTGCTGTCACAAAGATAGGAAGTAGGAAGCTGTACCCACAGAAAGAGCACTGAAATCCCACCCTGTAGTGTCCCCAACTCACCACCACGTTCAGGAGCCCTCCGTACGGCCCAATGTCTGGCTGCCACAATCCCAAAATGTGTCGGTATCGATGGAGCACTGTGAGGAGAGAGGGGCCGGGCATCGACTTAGAGGCGGCCAAGGAGGGAAGGGGGGGGGCACTGAGACCCTGAGCCCTTGGCTCAGGAGTGCTGCGGGGAAGGCAGGGGATGGGGGTGACCCTCATGCCCTGCACAGGCATGGCACGCTGGGTGCTGGTCATCTGCCCATGAAGCCTGTGTGCCCACTGAGCAATGAGGGCAGGAGTGCGCAGATGGGCGAGGGCACAGCCTGGGGGACAGCTGTCTGCATGAGCCCGTCTGTCCACCCCCCACTGCAGGGCTGGGGTCTCTGCAGATGCCGGCCACAGATGTCCTGGGCACTGACTGCCACAGAGGGCAGGGAGGGAAGACAACCTGGCAGGCCACAAAGGGCCTGGGGACAGGCAGCAGCCAGAAGGTCACTGCCTTCTCTGGCAGAGGGAAGGGAAAGAGCCTGGCCTGGGGTGCGCACAGCTGGGGGAGATGCCCCCACCCCAGGCCCAGCCCAGCGCTGTCACTCAGGAGGGCTTAGAAGGACCCGCAGGACGCCGGCCACCCGACCCACGCAGGGCTCCCCTTCAGATGCGTTCATGGAACGGTGAAGGCAGCCTCACTCCGCACAGCCATCCGCCATGGGTCTGGGGCTGCTAACACGTAGGTCCTGAGCCATCAACACACACCAAGCCCCAGACAGCGCGCTGCCTGCAGAAGCGGCCAGGGTGAAACACGCTGATGACGGCTGTGACTTGTGACAGAATGTGAGTCAACACAGGGATGGCAGAGGGTGGCGGGGTGGCCAGCCAGCCAGCCACACGACACCAAGTGCTGCAGAACACGAGGAAATGGGTGTTCACTGTCTAATTCTTTCGTAAAATATTGGAAAAATAAACACCACCAGACAGCATGTCTCTCCTCCTCTCTCGTCTCTCAACTTTACTGCCGCAACCTCCAGCTCTCTGCAAATGTAACACGACGCTGGAGCCTCTACAAGGCCCACGCAGGCGACGCACCCATCACTCACGCTAAGTCCAAGCCGGGTTCCCTGTTTTACTGAAAAGCAGCATCAAAAGAGTCCACAGCCTCCCAGCGGCCAGCAGCCCAGGCCCCGCACAAAGGCAAGCATCAGGCGGCCCACCGCTCAGGGAACCCCTCCCAGTGCGCAGCCGAATGGCCGAGAGCACGCTGGGCAGGCGGCACAGCTTTCTGACAGGCACAGCCACCAGCTGCTGCAGGAAGGGCTGCTCTCAACAGTTCAGCCATACCAAAAGGCACCCTCAAAACCCAAGGTTTTCCCAGGAGCAAACATGGTCAAAAGATCGGAGGGGCGGGGGAGCTAGCCCAGCCCAGCGGGGGACGCGCCTCAAGTGTAAGGTCCTGAGTTTGATCCCCTGTACCAAAAAAATATACAAGTTGAGGAGTCTGGCCAGGACCCGCTGCCACTGTAGTGGGTAAGAGTGGCTGGGAGTGAAGTGTGGCCTGCACGGGCCACTTCTGGGCGTCCACGTCGGGGCCTCAGATGGCCACACTGTGCTTCTGTGTCTGGGTCCCCAGACAGCAGCCCCCCACCAGCACCATGGATGGGGTCTGGGAGAAGAGTCTGTTGTTAAGGACAAAAAATGAAAACAGGGGGCCGGGGAGATGGCTCAGTGGAATAAGTGCTTCCCTGTCAAGCACAAGGGCCTCAGTTCAATCCCCGGTTCCACAAAAAAAAAAAAGAAAACAGTAACATTTTGTTGCCATTTACAGTTGAGAAATTAAAGAAATTGAAGTTTATTTTTTAAAAATGCTACAAGTCACATAAATTGAATACTGCACGCTATGATGGGGGGAATGTCTCTCATAGGTGAATTTTAACTCCGTCTGATGGTACACTGAATTATAAATAACCCATGAGCAGGAAACTCTCTCCTTCACCTTCAACTGATGTAGCAACCGCAGAGCACTCCGGCAAACAGGCACTGCAAGCTGGCAAGAACTGAGCCTGCAGAGCAAGCCGACTGGCCCCACCACACGCCTGCAGAGGGGCGCTCGTGCCACCTCCCGGGGCAAGCCAGGAACTCACCCCAAATCTGTGTGCTTCCCGCCCTGGGGTGTACCCAGCCCCAAGACAGAGCCACCTCTGAACCAGCTGGGGCCTCACAGCCCAGGGCTGGCAGGACACCTGCCTAGGCCTGTGGCTCTCTCCTGTCCAGGGCGGTCACTGGGTGAGCGGGTGTGACCCTCCAGCACACTGGCAAAAGCGGTAGTTAGCTGGGCAGAACTCAGCTCACATGTTAAGGATGGGAAGTAACCGAGGTGTCACCATGGTGGCCCCACTTCACTCAAGCAAAACTGCAGAGGACAGGGTCTCACGGGTGGCTTCTGCATACAATGCAAGACCTCGTGGCCCGGCCTCTGTGAGGCCGCCCCACCCAGCACGCTCGCGGGAGCAGTGTCTGTGCTACCCAAGGCGGTCCCGCTTCACCCAGAGGGGATGCTCGTGCCGGCTCTCCAGGAAGCAGCGGCATTGCCGAGCCTGGCAGCGGGCGGGCCCGTGAAGCCCCGGTGCCCGGTCACACACCAAGTGATTTTCGGTCACTGTCCACACAACTTGCCGCCAACACGCAGCCATAGGAGACATCAACGCAGCACCCAGAGCAGCTGACCCAGCGTTCCTGGGTCCCTGCGGACTCTGTGGCCAGGATCCACAGAGCTCACCCCTGGCCTGAGCTGTGCCAGCTTGCTCCCCTCGAGTGCACCCCACATTGTCTCGGGCAAAGGCTGTCCATCCTTTCTCACACAGCAAAGACAGACCTGGCATTCCAGGGGGCCCCAGGGCTAGTCCTGGCTAGCTATGTCCAGGGAAACTGGGGATTCACCCAGATTTGCTGGATCTCCCCAGTGTCTGCAATGTGTTTTCAAAACTGCACCAAAGGTGCTGGTGAGATGGCTCAGTGGTCTAAAGCACCTACTTAGAACAAGTTTAGCAAAGCATATGGACCACAGTTCAATCCCCAGCGCCACATGCCAGCCAGCCCCGCCCCCTGGTGGGCTGAGCT